GGTCATCCCAGGTCCCAGTCGGTCATCCTAGATCCCAGTGTGTCATCCCACCGAGTGGGTCATCCTGAACCCAGTGGGTCACCCTAGATCCCGGTGGGTCATCCTAGAACCGTGGGTCATCCCAGATCCCAGTGGGTCATCCTAGATCCCAGTGGGTCATCCTAGATCCCAGTGGGTCAGCCCAGATCCCAGTGGGTCAGCCTGAGATCCCAGTGGGTCAGCCTAGATCCCAGTGGGTCAGCCTAGATCCCAGTGGGTCGCCTAGATCCCAGTGTCAGCCCAGATCCCAGTGGGTCAGCTTAGATCCCAGTGGGTCAGCCTAGATCCCAGTGGGTCAGCCTAGATCCCAGTGGGTCAGCCTAGATCCCAGTGGGTCAGCCAGATCCCAGTGGGTCAGCCCAGATCCCAGTGGTCAGCCTAGATCCCAGTGGGTCAGCCTAGATCCCAGTGGCTAGATCCCAGTGGGTCAGCCTAGATCCCAGTGGGTCAGCCCAGATCCCAGTGGGTCAGCCCAGATCCCAGTGGCGCCCAGATCCCAGTGGGTCAGCCTAGATCCCAGGGTCAGCCTAGATCCCAGTGGGTCAGCCTAGATCCCAGTGGGTCAGCCTAGATCCCAGTGGTCAGCCTAGATCCCAGTGGGTCAGCCTAGATCCCAGTGGGTCAGCCTAGATCCCAGTGGTCAGCCTAGATCCCAGTGGGTCAGCCTAGATCCCAGTGGGTCAGCCCAGATCCCAGTGGGTCAGCCTAGGATCCCAGTGGGTCAGCCTAGATCCCAGTGGGTCAGCCCAGATCCCAGTGGGTCAGCCTAGATCCCAGTGGGTCAGCCTAGATCCCAGTGGGTCAGCCTAGATCCCAGTGGGTCAGCCTAGATCCCAGTGGGTCAGCCTAGATCCCAGTGGGTCGCCTAGATCCCAGTGGGTCAGCCTAGATCCCAGTGGGTCAGCCTAGATCCCAGTGGGTCATCCTAGATCCCAGTGGGTCATCCTAGATCCCAGTGGGTCATCCTAGATCCCAGTGGGTCATCCATCCCAGTGGTCATCCCAGATCCCAGTGGGTCATCCTAGATCCCAGTGGGTCATCCTAGATCCCAGTGGGTCATCCTAGATCCCAGTGGGTCATCCTAGATCCCAGTGGTCATCCAAATCCCAGTGGGTCATCCAAGATCCCAGTGGGTCATCCAGATCCCAGTGGGTCATCCAAGATCCCAGTGGTCATCCAAGATCCCAGTGGGTCATCCAAGATCCCAGTGGGTCATCCAAGATCCCAGTGGGTCATCCTAGGTCCCAGTGGGTCATCCTAGGTCCCAGTGGGTCATCCTAGGTCCCAGTGGGTCATCCTAGATCCCAGTGGGTCATCCTAGGTCCCAGTGGGTCATCCTAGATCCCAGTAGATTATCTTATCCCAGGGTCATCCTCGGTCCTTTGGGTCATCCTAGATTCCAGTGGGTTACCCAGATCCCGGTGGGTCATCCGAGATACCCAGTGGGTCATCCCAGGTCCCAGTGGGTCATCCTGATCCCAGTGGGTCATCCTAGGTCCTAGTGGGTCATCCTAGATCCCAGTAGATTATCTTATCCCAGCGGGTCATCCTAGATCCCAGTGGGTCATCCTAGATCCCAGTGGGTGTTCCTAGATCCCAGTGTGTCATCCTAGGTCCCAGTGGGTTATCTCGGATCCCAATGGGTCATCCTAGGTCCCAATGGGTCATCCCAGATTCCAGTGGGTCACCCCTAGATCCCGGTGGGTCATCCTAGATCCCAGTGGGGATATCTTAGATCCCAGTGGGTCATCCTATGTTCTAGCGAGTCATCCTAGGTCCCAGTGGGTCATCCTAGATCCCAGTGGGTCATCCTTGGTCCCAGTAGGTCCCCTGATCCCAGTGGGTCATCCTAGTCCCAGTGGGTCATCCTGATCCCAGTGGGTCATCCTAGGTCCCAGTAGGTCATCCCAGATCCCAGTGGGTCATCCTAGGTCCCAGTAGGTCATCCTAGATCCCAGTGGGTCATCCTGATCCCAGTGGGTCATCCTGATCCCAGTGGGTCATCCTAGGTCCCAGTGGGTCATCCTTGATCCCAGTGGGTCATCCTAGGTCCCAGTAGGTCATCCTGGGTCCCAGGGTCATCCTAGGTCCCAGTAGGTCATCCTAGATCCCAGTGGCTCATCCTGCCCAGTGGGTCATCCTAGTTCCCAGTGGGTCATCCTAGTTCCCAGTGGGTCATCCTAGTTCCCAGTGGGTCATCCTAGTTCCCAGTGGGTCATCCTAGTTCCCAGTGGGTCATCCTAGTTCCCAGGGGTCATCCTAGATCTCAGTGGGTTATCCTAGATCCCAGTGTGTCATCCTAGATTCCAGTGGGTCTTCTTAGGTCCCAGTGGGTCATCCTAGGTCCCATTGGGTCCTAGATCACAGTGGGTCATCCTAGATCTCAGTGGGTTATCTTAGATCCCAGTGTCCTAGGTTCTAGCGAGTCATCCTATGTCCAAGTGGGTCTTCCTACATCCTAGTGAATGATAGTGAGTTCCTATGGGATTCTAGTGGGTCATCCTAGATCGTAGTGGTCATCCTAGGCCCACAGTGTCATCCTAGGTTCCAGTGGGTCATAAGAACGTAAAAAATAAGAGTCTGCAATAGGCCGGTTGGCCTGTGCATGGCAGCTCCTGCCGAAAGTTACTACCACTCTCTATCATCCATGAATCTATCCAGCCTCCTTTTGAGACTTTCCAGCGTTGCAGCACTTACTACAAAGTTGCTAAGCTTGTTCCACTCGTCCACCACCCTATTTGTAAACCAGTTCCTTCCTATCTCCCTCTAAACCTAAACTTATCCAACTTAAATCCGTTGTTCCGAGTCTATCCTGCTCGGATATTATAAGAACTTTATCTATATCCTTTATTGATTCCTTTCACCCACTTAAATTTCTATCATATCTCCCCCACTCTTCGTCTTTCTAGGGATGCAAATTAAGTTTCTTTAACCTATCCTGATATGGAAGGTTTCTAAGTCCCGAATCATTGTCGTCATTCTTCGCTGCACCGACTCTAATGAATTGATATCCATTCTATAATAAGGGCACCAGAATGAACCGCATAATCGAGGTGCGGCTGACTAGTG